CCTATCCTGATCCACATGAATCCAATCCATACAATCCCATCTTATCTCTCTAAGATCCACTTTAATATTCCGTCCATTTATATCTTGGTCTTCCCAGTGGCTTCTTCCTTCCGGGTTTCCCACTAATATCCTATATGCATTCCTCTTCTCCCCATATGTGCTACATGCCCTGCCCATCTCATCCTCTTTGACTTAATCATTCTAATTATACGTTTTTCTTTTCGCTTAGTGGGGGGTTGAGTCCATCTGGGTCCACTCGCTACGGCGGCCACTGATTGGCCTATTGTACCTGCCCCGGGTGATTATGATGATGGAGAATTTGGTGGAAGAAGACTGGCAGGGGAAACCGAAGTACTCGGAGAAAACCCGCCCCAGCGCCACTTTGTCCACCACAAATCCCACTTGTCCAGACCTGGGATCGAACCCGGGCCGCCGCGGTGGAAAGCCAGTGACTAACCGCTTGAGCTATGGCGCGGCCTTCTAATTATACTTGGAAAAGAGTACAGGTTATGAAGTTCACATAGCCAAAAATGTTTACGTCTGCAGACCTGTCATACTTACATATTATATAAAAAGTGTGCCATGTAGACCCGTTTCTAGACAACGACTGCGAAACAAATGAGAGAACGGCCATCGCCAGGCAACAGCTTCGTAACAGTACTAGATCCGTTGGTAGGTAGTGGCCCACGGGCAACAATGGAAGTAATTTTAGAAGGGATGTTTTCTATGTGGTGTGCTCCGAGGCTATATGACTCGACCGACCGAGTTCAGTTCAATTAGTGTAGTGCAGTGGAGCGAGTTGATGGTGAGTGAGTCACTTAGTGGACTGCTGCAGTTCAGTTCTTGGAAGCTGCTGGTGTTAGAGCTGGTACCTGAAGCACAGGAATAGTTTGGGAACCGACAGTAATGGCAGTGCGCACAACTGTAGCCGCTACCAGGCAACGACTGGTGAAGACACAAGACTGAGAAGACTCAGTACGTGCTGTTGTGAACTGCAGAGTGTGCGAATTAGCGATAGGGCTATAGTTACTTGTAGTTACGTTCTGTAAGTTTTAAATAAATCCAATTACCAATTCAAACCCTGTCTACAATCACTCACACACGTGATAATATATTCAAAGATATGACATACAAATTTAAAGAGTCATCTTAACACTAATAACATACTAGGACAATTTAGATGTATTTTAAAACAACCTCACCACAATCTATGAGCCGATTTCCTAGTAAAGGTGGGAGCCTCGACGTCTCACAACCCTATGGGCCTTCAAGGCCGGTTACAGGGATAGCTTTACTTTGTGCTTTTACTCTAAATTAAAATAACTCACTGAAGAACAGAAATGTTGGAATAGAAGGCAATGGGTACCCCTTTACACCAGTGTTCACATGTCCTCGCCGTACGTTTATTTCATATATGTCAAGACGAACAGATGAGCGAGCCACTGTGGTTTGTTCGTCACTCTCCGGTTGCAGTTCATTCCTCTGAGCACAAATATATTTCCAATGCCGCCTACATAATGTTTAGTCATAGTATTCTGTACACTAAATTGACACATCCCACAGACTATGTAGATCATCAATTAATTATGCTTATCATTTCCAGAGAATAAACATAATCTCTAGCTGTGATGCTGTAGAATCCACTGTGCAGTTATTACATGGCCTACATCCATCAAACTGATGCTCTTGTGTTCGCTGTGCATTGTGGGAACAATAGCGCTAATTAATGGCCGGTGGGGACAGTTGAGTATAATGAGCAGGGGATCAACAGCTTCAGCAGACCGTCCGTGCTCCGTGGGCACCTCGAAACAACGGTTAGTAAGCCCGCCCCTCTCTTTTCAGGTGCGGTTACGTATCTGAGAAACGTCTATTAAAAGTCCTCTTTAAAAAAAATGCAAGAAAAAACAACTTTCGAACCGTTAAGCGGATTTGAGTCAAACTTAATACTGGGGGACTTGTTTACTAAAATCTGTCGACATATGCCACTTTTGGTAAAACTCGGGATACAAACAAGGAGCGCTTCACATGAGAACCTACATGGGTCTACGGCTCATATAGCCCTTTGGAAATGGGCCACTTTTTTAGTTTCTTAATCCTAAACAGCCGGTAGGACTCCGTGGACTAGGGATTAACCCGTCGTAAGGCCTATACATACACACAGAACAGCACGAACACAGACACCAATACCTTGAGTGGAATTCGAACCCACGAGCCCAGTGTTCAAGCAGGCGAAGACGGTTCATGCCTTAGACCGCGCGGCCGCTGTGATCGGCTGAACAATTTTTAGCGCAGCGAATGAAACAGAAGCTGTAGGGAAAAACGAAATATATTGTGACGGACTAATGATATGTAAACATCATAGCTTTAAGATTAATTTTAATATTATCTTATGATATGCCTATATCTTCAAAACAACTTTTTTTCTTAAGGTTTCCTACCGATACATAATATGCATTTCTCTTGTGTCTTGCATCCAGTAGTAGAGACGTTTATCCCAAATGCGTGTATTAAACTATTACCAGAAGATTATCACGGAGCGTGTGCTCTTCTGCGCTGTAAAGTGTTTAGTTCACAGACAAACTAACATTTCAGAGGAACATACCGATTCAGTATTCAGGGTCGAAGAGTAAGGTGGGCATGAAGCGGCCTCCGTAGTCTAGGGGTAACGTTCCCACCTCATGTCTCTAGGAGACTTCTGAGCAAAATTAGGCAAAAGTTTCCCGCCCAAGTAGTTTCCAATGCCTCCGGTAGATGGGGAAGTATCGAGTACCACTGCCTGCCTCGCTGGCTGAACAGGGCTGATAGCGAGCACCAGTATCGGAAGGGTATGGCGACTGGTAGAATATCAAAGGGGGACGTACAATAGACTATTAGTCGCGGTGCATGGGGAAACCCACCCCCTCCATTAATAATAATAATAACAAGATGGGCATGAAATCAGAAGAGTTCACCTCCTGCTTCTGATACTATCTTGCATGACTTACTGTTCGAACCTGAAGAGAGAAGCGGTATGTTCTTTAGAAATGTCGGACTGTCTACGAACTACAAGACGTTACAGCACAGAACCCCAGTCACTACCCAGTCACCTCAAATCCAGCATCTTCTTGTTGCACTTGGTTCAACATTATTATTTTATAGAACGCCGTAAAATACGGGATTCTGAGACTCCTTCCAGCGTCACAGCTGAAGAAGTCGACTACATGAATCCTAATCATGTGCTGCAACAAGGGGACGAAAGTTCCACTCAATCGAAGTGGCGGCCCTCTGAACACATCGCCACGACTCTGGACATGTGACCTGTACTAGAGGCGTCGCATGTAATTATCGCACAGAAACAAGATTAACAGCCAAGCCCCTGGCCTGTAGACCCGGCTGCGAATGCCGACGCTACAGGAGCTGATAAAATTCGCGCGCTGGGACAATTAGTTAATGCACGGAACCTAACATTTGCCCGCAGCAAAGCGCGATAGACCCGCGCGAGGTGAGAGAGGGAAGGGTGAGTGACAGAGAGAGAATGAGAGGTGTAACTGCATGCCCAGAACTTTTGTTAGTCTCTCCTCACACCCTCTGGTTCGATTCTTACTTGGTGCATCTTTGCTACAAATATATTTCTGGACATTAACCATCGCCCTGCTTTTATTTGAAAACAGCCACAAGCCATCTGCCTTTAATCTTAGAACAGTTTCTCTCTTACATTTATATAAAAAAAGTAAAATTTGCCTTGTGCTTAATTAAGTACCATGACACGCAAGCATATGGGGGAGTTGAAACAGAGCTCCACTCATTCTTAACTTTATTACACAGAGGTGGGGGCTGGATTCACGTCCCAGCCGCTTTACTCGCCGGTACCTATTGGACAGTTGGCTGAGTGGGCCCAAAATTCGGTATCTTTGCTGTGGAGAACAGATAAATTTCATGCTACTATTGGGTACCGTCCAGCCAGTACGCAGTCATTAAAGATTAAATCCACGAATCCCGGTCTATGCTGGCGAAGGCCATCAACAATTTATCCTACTGACCGACCTACGGGACTCGCGACCACATTTTACTGTCTCAGAATTGAGACTTCCCTTTTTGTCGCCTCCTACGACTCGCAGGGTCACTGTGGAGATATTCGACCCCACCTCAAAGCTGGGGACTAACTGGGCAGCACAAATTTTGTTCCTTATAACCATTTTGCACGGACCTAGTAGAGAACATAGTTTCAACAGTAACTACTATTGTGCTCGTATCTGTTGCAGCGAGAACGTGTTTACCGATACGTTGCCTAGAAACGAGTTGCATAACATCGTTGTTTATTCGCCTATTGCATAGCAACGGCTATACACGCTACAATAGTGTGTTCGGTTTGGGTAACTTGTAGTGAAGTTGTGACCGTTAAGATTATTCTTCCCATTGTCTGTTGCATGAAAAGTTAAATTTACTGACGTGAAGCCGTGTAATTTGGTTGATAGTTATGAACGTTTTGCATAAACCTATTACCTCCGCATTATGCACTGAAGATTGAGGCATACTGTTCCTCCGAAATGTTCGTAACTAGACAACATGGCGTCACATCCAGAAGACAAGCGATCTTAATAGTCACCTCAGTCAGTACCTCAAATCTCGCTTTACTGACGGATGAGGGACAATTTTATGTTGCGGGGTATCTCTTGTTGCTGCAAGCTTTTTTGTTTTTCCCCCTTGGCACAACAGCACCAGTGGGCCTAGGCCTACCTCCATGAACTTCTCCGTTCACTTCGGTTTTTCTAGATCTTACACATTCGGTAGGACTCCTTGGGCGGGTAATCAGCTCGTCGCAAGGCCTCTACCTGTACACACACAAACTAACATCCATGCCCTGAGTGGGATTCCAACCCACGATCCCGGTTTCCAAGCGAGCGAAGACAGTACATGCCTTAGACCGCTCGGCTACCGTGACCGACTGCTGCAAGCTTACGTACTTAGAATTTCACTGTCACTGACGCTTGCTCGCTCCTGCAGCCTGTAGTCTGACTCACCCTTGTGTTCGCTGTGTTGATTTCTCAGCCACTTCAGCTTAATGACTCCGACCCTCTTCATCATGTATGGACCCGCCCTTGCTTAATGACGAGTAATCCCTCACATCCAGGGCACTTCTTCAGTCAGTGAGGTTGAAAGAGACGCTATGCTTTCCTGTTTGAGCATAACAAAGTGTGTATGTGACGCAGAGGTAATTTCTGCCCGTCCAAAATTGCATCTTTCGTCATCCAAACAACGTCACGGGCTTACACGAAACTGGTAGGAGTTACTAGCAGAACCTCGGTCCGTATTTTACCGCCATAATCCGCACGGAACATGAAAGCATTATCGTACTTTTTCAAATGTTTAACAAGAAGCAGAGCTCGTAAAAGTTATCGAGTTGTTCTAGCGTCAACAATCAAGACTTCTATTCCAGAGGCATTCTATTAGAATTTCGTTCGGGACACTGACTATCCTTACTGGTTCCTTTGTAAAATCTGAGGTTTTCACGGCGGTGACTATGAAGAAAGTAGGCTTCTGGGATGTGGCGCCGTGTAGATAGTGTTAACCGACGTTTCGGATGAACGTATCGCCTCCATCTTCAGGGCAGAAGAAAAGAAGAAATCCGCGAGCGAACCAGAGTGAGCAGCATTAAATTATTAACGACTAATGTGAAAAAATAATTTCCAATGTAACTCTTACTTGTGAAACAATTACAAGATCGCCAAGTCGTACAGCAACAACATGGACTCTGTTATGTACCCAAAATTTTGTATGCATCAGAGTGCTGGACCCTAACTGAACAAGAGGAGAGATTAAGTGAGGTTACTGGAGGCTGTTGCAATTACAGAACAGCCCATGTCAGACACTCTGAAAACGTCCTATACCATAATGACCACAGCCATACTGCTATATGGATCACAGTGCTGGGCCCTAAATGAACAACCGATTTTGAAACATGTTACTGGAATTAAGTTTACTGATTATTTTGATGTGACGCCGTGTAGCCTGCAGTTACCAACATTTTCGGGGGAATGTGCTGTTTCCATCTTCAAGGTAGAAGTGTCAGCAGAGGGTAGAAGAAGGTCTAACAAATACAGGACGAACTCTCACATAAATCGAGGCTTTAGTAAAACTAACAGCTGCAAGGGGGACTCTTTACTAAACTAGACGGCGTCACATCCCAGCATCTTCATACCCACCGACGGGCGAAGCTTCATTTGCGCGTTGTTACCCAGCAGACAAGTGTTTCGCTCTGTGAACTTCTGCACTACATCTGCAGATGCGATGCGAATTTGGTCTGACTTCCTTTAGAGATAAGAACGTGTGAAGATTATCAGTGGATAATGTTCGACATTTCACAAGGCAGCGCGGTCTAAGGTATGAACTGTTTTCGCTAGCTCTAACGCAGGGATCGTCGGTTCGAATCCCACTCAAGGTATGGATGTTTGCGTGCGTTTATTCTGTTTGTGTTCTCCTGCACGCACGTAGCGGCCTTGCGACGGGCTGATCACTCGTCCAAGGAGTCCTACTGACTGCGTAAAAATGATTACGAAACTGAAGAAGAGGCCACAGCCCAGCAAAGGGCTGTAGGGCCATTGATGAATGAAATGAATGAATATTCTGCAGTTTATATTCCAAACAGGTGACAGAAGAGTATGAAATGATCAAAGCAAGTCGAATGAATGTTTATTTTTTTAAATTATCGGAATTCGTGCATAAAATACGAGTATATTACGAAATTAACACCGTGGATCTGAGTAACTTTTGCCATTAATTATGTTTCATAATGCGAACAACAATAAACAGTATTCTGAGTTATTTTAATTAGGAACTAGGCGACTTGTGCTCCGTTTCTAACTCTGATACATCCTGGGAGCAGGCTTTGTGGACAGAAACCACACCACTTCATATATCATGTACCCTACATGCTATGAGGTTTACAGCCCTACCTGTTCTTGCGTCGGCAATTTCCTCAATTGAAGTGTCATTGAAGAAAGTTGTCTTCTGGGTTTAGGCACCGTGTATTCTTCGTTTTGGCCGACGTTTCGGAGGAACGTAGCTCCTCCATCTTCAGAGCAGTTGAATAGCTGCGGAGAGCAGTAGCTGTGGTGATAGGATGTGGAAGGTGCAGCACCTTCCACATCCTATCACCACAGCTACTGCTCTCCGCAGCTATTCAACTGCTCTGAAGATGGAGGAGCTACGTTCCTCCGAAACGTCGGCCAAAACGAAGAATACACGGTGCCTAAACCCAGAAGACAACTTTCTTCAATGACATCGCCGTGAAAACCTCAAAACTTACATAGTATTCCTCTATGGGGAGGCTATCCATCGAC